CTGCCCCTGCCCTCCCTCCCCAGCCCTGCTCCTGGGAGTGGGCACAGGGGCATGCTCCCCCCACTTCTTGATCTGCCATCCCAGCACCTTCCATTTCCCCTGCCCTGCCCCGCCTCTTCCCCCCCCACACACTTACCTGCTGGGGTGGGTGTCAGTGTCTGTATGTCTATGTCTGTGGGTCTGGGGGGCTGTTGCGAGGGGCTTCAGGAGGGCTGTTGAGACTGGGGGGGAGTGCGAGGCACCAGCAGAGCTGTGGGGGCTGTGGGAGGCCTTAAATTTTTATTATGAATTTGGGGTTTTTAAATCAGAGAAAACCAGGATCCCTTGTAATTATTTTCGATCGTATATAGGGCCCTGAGAAAAATCATGGATTTCTTGTAAAAAATTCGTGGCATGTGCATGGGTAAAGTATCATTTTTCACGGAATATTTATGGAACTACCACTGATATTGGCAAATGGGCCCCAGTAGTTCCGTGAATACTCTGTGAAAAATGATACTTTACCCACACTTGTGGCAGGCAGGCGCACAGCCATAGGTGGCGGAAGGCCAGGGCTAACAGGGCTTATAGAATCATAGAATAGAAGGACTGGAAGGGACCTGTAAAATCATCTAGTCTGGTCCCCTGCCATGGGCAGGAGTTATTGGGCTCAAACAAGCTCTAAGAGGTGCTTGTCCAGCCTCCTCTTGAACACCTCCAGCAATGGCAACTGTACCACCTCTGCCGGGAGTGTGTTCCAGATTTTAGATACCCTTATGTCTAGTCTAAATTTTTCCTCAATGAGCTTGTGCCCATTGGTTCTTGTCCTCCTAAGGGATGCCTTTCTGAAGAGTTGAGGCTTAGCCCAGGTGTGGGCTCTGGGATGCTTGGAGCCCAAGCAACTTGTCCAGCGGTGCAGGGGGGCTCCTGCCACTACGTGCACCTCGGGAGAGGCCCAGGGATCATGTGTGCCCTGATGCTGCTGCTCCAGGAACACCATCTGCCACACATGATGCCATGTGCCTGCTGCTGCTGGCTCCCATGGCAGCATCAGCGTGGCACAGAGCCCAGCCCACAGCACGCAGCCCGCCTCCACCCCATGCACAGATCTGGGGGGCACATGCCACCTGCGCCTCTCCCAAGGTGTCTACAGTGATGGGAGCCCCCCATGTCTCTGGACAAGCTGCCCAGGCTCTGACCATTCCACCACCCACCCTGGGGCCCTATTCGCTCCAGCCCCTGTCCCTGCCTCACTCCCTCCCTGACTGTGGGGGCCTCGATCTGTACCCCTCATGCCCCTTCCCCAACTTATCTGCTGTGGTGGGCAGTGCTCCACACACTGTCTGGCTGCAGTCTTGGCTGTGTGCAGGCTCCGTGTCTGCTGCAGCTGCCTGAAGCCCATGCCCAGGGCTACTCTGTGGCCTTCTGCACTGCCCCACGTTTGGGGGGGCTAAGCTCTGTTATCCTCGGCCTTCCACAACTGATGCTCGCAACCCTTAAAAATCATAGCGTGGGGCAAATTTCGCGGTTTCCATGCAGTCTACAAAATCACAATTTTCTTAGGGGCATAATAATATTTGCAGAAATTACACACACACACACACACACACGTGTGTGTGTGTGTGTACAAAATTTTTGTTTAATGTAAATTTAAAAGAAAGAGTATTTTAAAAATACATTATACAAAAACCTGGACAGATATTAAATTAGCAGTAAATACCAGTTATTGCAATACACTGCATCTCAGAAAAGCTTGAGAAAACTGTCATTACAAAATTAGAAATAAAGAACTCAAAGTGTATAATCCACAACACATGCAAATAATGGGTTTACTCTTGATGTTATTTTTGACAATAAGAAGTTAAATATTAAGAAATACAAGCATCAAATATTATCTTAGCTCTGGATTGAATGCGAAGCAGTGCACAAGCCTGTTCTGTATCCAGTTGCCTGCACCTGTCAGGACAGCATAATGTTATGAGGAGGATAAGCATTGGTGGACCTTAGTCCTCCTTGTCCTCATCCCCTTTCATGTAGTAATAATTACTGCTGAGCAGTGTTGCAGCTGAAGTTCTAAATAATGGTAGTCAAGTCCATCCAAGCTGCCAAACACTGGTGTTTGTTACCTTACTCGTAGAAAATTAGGGTTGGAAGGGACCTCAGGAGGTCAGCTAGTCCATCCCTCTGCTCAAAGCAGAACCAGCCCCACTAGATCCTCCAAGCCAAAGCTTTGTCTAACTGGGTCTTAAAAACCTCAAGAATGGAGATTCCACAACCTCTCTGGGTAACCTGGTTCCATTTGTCCTAATATCTAACCTAATCTTCCCTTTCTGCAACTTGACACCATTGCTCCTTCTGTCATCCGCTACTACGGAGAAGAGTCTAGCTCTATCCTCTTTATAAGCACCCTTCAGGTAGTTGAAGGATGCTATCAACCCCCCCCCCCCCCACACCAGTCTTTTCTTCTCTGAACTAAATAAGTGCAGTTCTCTCAGCCTCTCCTCAGAAGTCATGTTCCTTAGCCCCCAGATAATTTTCATTGCCCTCTGTTGGACTGTTTCCAACTGGAGGCCTAAAACTAGACACAGTACTCCAGATGTGGTCTCACCAGTGCCAAATAGAGAGGAATAATCACTTCTCTCAATCTGTTGGCAATGCTCCGAATGCAGCCCATTGTGCCATTAGCCTTCTTGACCAGGGACAGACATTACACATAAACCAGTTTAAGTGATCAGAAACTGGTTTAAACCTTAATAGAACAGATGTTCGGTGCACATAAGCCAATTTGAAAATGGCTGAAACCAATTTGAGATAAGCCCGGTTGAATGTAGTTGACTTAACTGATTTGGGTCAAACCGGTTTATGCAATGTCTGTCCCAGACCCCTTGCTGGTTTAAGATAAACCAGATTCTCCCAGTATCCCAGCATGCTCTCTGGGCTGGGCGGGGCTCTCTGCTCCATAGCAGAGCTGGCCCCTCCCCTCTGCACCCTGGCTGAAGCTCCAGCAGAGACTGTGAATTGCTTTCCCCCTCCCCCTTACCACTCCTTGCTAAGTAGGAATTCCCCTCTCCCCTCTGCCTTGATGAAAGATGTCTGTGTTTTAGCCAACCATATGCTGGCTAAGGTCCGTGCTGAGTCAACAGGCAGAATCAACAGGCAGCTGGCAATGTCCCTCTGTTGTTTTCCTAATGGGGTGATAAACACCATGTTATCAACAGGGATTCAGGTTTTCCATGGAAAACAGAAAAAACATGTATTTCCTGATTTTATCAGAGAAAAAACAGATTTTGCCTCTTAGCAGAGATACCATCGAATTTCCCATTTTTGCAAAGAGCTTTGCATGCTGGCACAGTTCCAGTTTGCATGTACCTGCACATGGTGCCCCCTGCCTGACTGCTCTCCTCCCACTCCCCACAGCTCCTTGCAGGCTAGAACTCCGCCAGCCTGCAGAGAGCTCTTTCCAAAGATGCAAAATCCGCATTTCTCTGTTAAAATAATAATAAAAAAAACCCTGTGTTTTTCTTGGGTAAAAGGGGAAATCTACATTTTCTTTATTTTTCCGTGGGAAATGCGAAATCCGGATCCCTGCTCATGAGACTTCTTGTAGTCCAATCCTCCAATTTGTCTAGGTCTCTCTGAATCCTAGCCCTACCTCCAGCATATCTACGGCTCATTTGGCAGTGAAAATCTCTTTCCCAAGAAATAAGTCTAAGCATCTGCAGCAGAATGCATTTGAAAAGAAACCTTTCATCAATAAGTCCTGAGCTGATACTTGCCTAGATTTGTCTTCTGCTAAGTGATACCCATTTTTAAACAGAATTATAATAAACTATCACAGTCCTTCACTACCTTCCATTTTTATGAGCTGCCAGTAGTTTCTTAGTGAGCAACGTTATGGGGAAGAGGACCAAATAAAACAAGTTCCTAAACAATTCTAATTATATTTGTGTCAATGCCTTTTTCACTTTCCTCTTTTAAGAATTTTCCTACCTTCTCCATGCTCTTTGAATAATGGTAGCAGCACAGTTCTTCTTCCGAAACAGCTCTTTTCTTGTTCTTTCCTTTTCTATTATCTGTATCCGTACCTCTAATGGAATGAGTTCGTTATGCATACTTGGCCATGTTGGAAGAGGACCTGACTGATCTGTTTTTTCCAAGTCCAGATTGTCTTCAGAAACAGCACAAGTTGCTGTATCGCTTGGCACCAGTCTTGTAATTCCTACTTCAACAGACAATAAAGGGCGGGCCCCTTTTTTTAATTCATCATTTGCCACATGGATAGATTTCACTGTGGCACCTAAGCTGGTACTTCTGATATTTCCAGACCCCACTCTGGCACTTCCAGGCCTGCTGGAACCAGCAGGAGAATACCTCTCATCCTTTAACTGTCTACTTCTTGCTCTCAGCTGCTGCATTTTGCTGCTTGAGGCAGTTTCACAGTGCCTTGAATTCCTTGCTTTTCCATCAGTGCAATTAAGGTTCTGTAAGCAAGCTGCTGTTTCTTCACACTGGCTTCTGCCACCCAATATAGATTGACTTTGATCTCTTAATTTATCCCCAGCACTGGTTGGCCTACATGCAGGGTTTTGCTTTTTGTTGCCATGTGCAAAGGAACCATTTGCCCTTGCAATCTGCTCTTTATGCTTTTCACCATCCACTTCTGTAGCAGTTGCATGTTTTGCTCCATTTCCACCATTTTCTTTACTACAATGGAAATGCACACAAGCTGGCTTCTTTTTGGTGTGTTTCCTAGAATATTCTGTAGGGAGACAAATGAAAATTCAATGTTACAGTCACTGAAGGGAACTAAATTATCTCTATTTTTCCAGTTCATTTTTTGCATAGTAATCATGATGAGGTTTAGCAGCAAGCAGCAGGGCTGCCAGGGCTCCTCTAAATTTTTGCTTCCCCAGTGATCGGGGCAAATGGCTCAGCAAGTGGGGACCCTCTGCCAATCAGAGCTGGGATGGGGAAGTGGCAAAATGAAAAAAATTAAAGGAGCCACTGTGGGGGGCACTTCCTCCGTGATTTACGGATATCCCTAATAATTGGTTGAATAACTTCAAGCAAAGAGAAACTATAAAGGGACCAGAGTATGGCCAGTGTCAGTGGGTTTCCACAGGAGTCTGTTCTGGGTCCAGTGCTGTCTAACATTTTAATTAATTATTTGGTTGCAGGAACAGAGAATTTACAGAGTACATTTGTAGAAGACACAAACCTGGGATGGATTATAAATACTTAGGAGGATAGGATTAAAATTTGAAGGAATGTCGTCATATTGCAGAACTTAGCTCTGGATGACAAAATGAAATTCAAAAAAGACATATAGAAGGTGTTTCAGGGGTGTACTTAGTAGCTGCGTTGATCTGAGACAAAAAGACATACAACAATAAGACATACAAGAAGTGCCCACCAGGCACTTCCATCTGGACCGTGAAGCCCACCAACTAATTGTACCCAGCCCAGCCCTTTCGCCCGTGAGGGTGGGAGTGAGGCACCCATGTATACACACCCCCTGCCAACATACCCTATTGCGTCTCACTCCCACCTTTGTGGATGGAAGGGCCCGGCCTGGCCAGCATGCAGCTTCCGCTCGGGGCGGCTGCTGCTGCAACTGCTGCAGTCACCAGGGGACCTGCTCAGCTTCCCTGGCATCCAGCTCACTCTGGGAAGTAGGTAGGGAAATGGCAGGGGTGGGAGCGTGGAGCATGGGGCTGAAACTGGCGGCAGCATGGAGCCTGCACCCAGGGGGGTGGCAGCAGCAAGGAGCTCAGGTGGGCAGGGTGTGGCCGTGAGGGAGAGTGGGAGGGTGTGAGGATGCCCCCCCCCCACTCCTCCCATGGTGCACAGGCTCCACTGGCAGCAGCAGTGGTAGGTGGGGGTGCTTGGAGCACTCACACATGGCGCAGGCACTGCCACCCAGCAGTGTGTGATACCGGCCAGTGCTGCACATGGGGGTGAGGAGTGCAGCCTGGCTGGTCTGCTTCTATTGCCAGGGTTCCCCACCATGCCCGTGCAGCTTTTGCAATTGCGTGCCACCAGGGGGAAGTTCCACACTCTGGAGCTGGTTGCCTTCGCTGCTCCCTGCTGTGCAGGTCCCGGGACTCCACCAGAAGTGGAGGGGACCCTGTCCCCTGCTTCTCCATAGAGTCCCAGGACCTGTGTGGTGAAGGCAACCAGCTTCAGTGTGTGGAGCTTCCCTCTGGTGGCGTGCAAGTTCCAGGGACTGCATGTGCGCAGTAGGGAACCCCAGCGATACAGGAGGACCAGCTAGCCTGTGCTGCTTGCCCTCATGTGCAGCACTGGTCAGAGCCGTGTGCTGCCAGGTGGCGGTGCCTGCACCAGGCACAAGTACCCTGAGCGCTCTCACCTGCTGGTGCTGCTGCTGCCGCCAGCAAGGGCTGCATGCCATACAGGGAATGTGGGAGGGGTCCCCACCCCCCCCCACACCCACAAACACCACACACCCATGCTCTGCCCCCCCCCCCTACATATACACACCCCCTACCCCCTGCCCACACACACAGCCACACCCCCTCGCAACTGCCCCCACACATACACCCCCACACCCTATCATACACCCCCCCCACACACCACACCATACATACCCCACTGCACACACACCCCCACACCCTTTTTAGTGTATGATATGGTTTTTTTCTAGTTCTAAGATGGCAACCCCCCACCCAAAAGGAATATTTCTGGGGGGGCAAGGGGAGGGACTTCTGGTGGCAAAGGTCAGTGGTTAAGGGTAGGACTTCTGGTCCCAAGATGGCAACCAGGGGGCAGGGCAACTGTCAAGGGGTGAGGCTACCCATGCAGCTCTTGAAAGCTCACCAAACCTCATTAAGCGGCCCTCCAGCCAAAATAATTGCCTGCCCCTGACCTAGGCCAAGAGTCAGTAGGATTTTCCTGGCACAGGCTGGAGCTTGCAACACAACTATTTCTGTGGGCCATAAATCTCCACCTCCTAGGAGTGGCCAGCTGCTTGCACTCACCCTTGCTGCAGTTACCTGGCCCCTCTTGCAGTGAAGGAACCACAGATTAGGGTTACCATATGTCTGGGTTTTCCCAGACATGTCCTCTTTTTTTGGCTCCCTGTGCTGCATCAGGGCGGGTTTTTAAAGTAAGAGCGAATGTCTGGGTTTTCTGCTCTCCTGGATTGGCTGCTTCATGCTGGAAGCAGCAGGCAAGAAGATTGGCTGTCAAGGGTCATGTGCTCCCTGCGTAGGCTTTGGCATCCAGGTAGAGACAGAAAGGGAGAGTATGCGGGTGCACATGCAATGTGGGAGCTGCTGGGGCAGCAAGGCTGGAGGGGATAGGGGTCTGCGTGTCAGGAGTGAGGGGCACCAGCAGGGCTGGGGGGCGCAGATCAGGGCAGGGGGCTGCAGGTTGGGAGTGAGGGGCATAAGGGATGGGACAGGCGACTGTGGATTGGGTGTGCAGTGTGCTGGCAGTGCCAGGGGACTGCGGGTCAGGAGTGAGGGACACCAGCAAGGGGTGGGGGGCAGGGTACTGCTTTTTGGGAATGAGAGGCAGCGGCAGGGCTGGGGTTAGTGGATCCAGAGTGAGGGGCAGCAGCAGGGCTGGGGAGTGGTGTGCAGCTTGTCAGTGAGGAACAACAGAATGGGCAGGACACCAGCATGTCACTGCCCACCAACCCTCATATTCCTCTGTCCTCCCCCTGTCCCCTGTGACAGGTATCCTCTTTTTTGGACCTGGAAATATATGGTAATCCTAGCACAGATGCAGCAGAGGAACAGGCTCCACAGCAGAAAGGAGCACTCTGGAGGGAATGGATAGCGCTGTACAGCTCCATGCTTCCAATTCTCCTGTCAGATTGGATCTTTATGGGCCGGTTTGGACCTCTTAGTAGGCTGGATCCAACCTGGGAGCTGTCGGCTGCTGACCCCTGGCCTAGGCAGTAGCACTGCCATGCATGATCTGTGGGTTATGGTGGATTACAAATTCAGTACGAGTCAGGAATGTGATGCTTTCATAAAAAATACATTTTGGGTTGCTATAACAGGGGACCCTTGCCCTGTTACTAGATAGTGGAGAGAGGCAGATGGAGACACAGAGTGGAAGACAGAAGGGGGTCTGAAGAACAGAGGGCTGCCCTCTTAAACAGTGGGCAGCTTGATGACTCACCAATTAAGTCATTAACAGCTCATTCACTGCTGCTGGGAAGGGACTGGAGAGAGAGAACTAGGCAACCTAAAACCCTAACTGGAGCAGGCAGGAGAGAAGGATCAGAAGCATCAGGAGACAGAAGGGTGTGAAGCAGCAGCAGCTGGGAGCTCCTGACATCAGCGCAAGATGACTCAGCTGCAGGGAATTTGAAAAAAAAAACCTTTTCTGGTGGTTTGGGAAGGGACTGTGCAGGGAGGAAGGAGGACCCGAGGTGCGGCCAGAAGAGCCTAAGGTGTGGCCAGTGCGCCTAATGCCTGTGAAGGGCAGTGAATGAGCTGAGGCTCTAGATTGTGAGACTGGAATCAGTGGGCTTGGAGTTAGTGGCTCCTTCCAAAGAATCAGGATCCATATGGATAAAGTAGAAACCCCACAAGGCTGTGTTTACATGCAAAGGGCTAGTCACCAGGGGGAGGAGAAAGAGGGAGAGCCTGTTCCGATAACCCCTGAGTCTGCCACCTACCTCCTGAACCTAAATGGTAAGGTCGCAGCATGGCAGGTGAGAAAGGGAGATAAAGCAGGCAACAGTGAAATTGTGACAGGTGGCTATGGCTCCCAGGTGACTGGGGAGACCAGACTGATTGCCTTTATTATCAGCAAGGCCTCCAAATCAAGATGAGGAGCTAGATCTGGAATTCTCCAGAACACTGGAAGAGGCTGCGAGAGCACGGGATATGGTCATCATGAGTGACTTTAACTACCCAGACATCTCCTGGGAAGAACTCATGGCCAAATCTAACCAGTCACATAGATTCCTGACTTGTATTGATGAGCTCTACTTGTCTCGGGAAGTATACAGGCTGACCAGAGGAAATGCCCTTCTAGATTTAGTTTTGGCCAAGGGGGACGGCCTGATGAGTGATCTGAAGATAGAAGGTAACCTAGGTGACAGTGACCGTGACGCTATCACTTTTACTGTCCATCGTAGGGATGCGAAATCTGTCAGTAAGGTACAAATTCTTGATTTTAAAGAAGCTGACTTCAATAAGCTAAGGGCTTTAGTGGCTAATGTCCCAAGGGATCATG